GAAGAGACAATTGCTGCGAAGCTGCTCTATCTCAAATTTGGTTTTTGAATGACAACACAATGTTACTATTTTTTAGAACTAGTCCAAGCCATATGACAATGCCTTCTTGTGGTAACCAATGTTTTCCCTGCTGGACTTTTGAAATAGGTAATGGTGACAGAATGGGCACAGTACTCCAATGTGAGGCAGCAGGTGTGGTTGCTACCATGCCGAGTATTGTCTCAAACCCTGGGATTTGTAGTCTGAATACATTTTTTCCTCTTTCTTTTCAGATCACAGTGCCTGTGATTTAAGTACATTTCATATTGACAGCACTCTGCAGTATGTTTAGATTCTCCAGGTCATGCCCAAGCCTTGCTTCGGGATACATGGCTGTGAAGATCAAAATGACAGTTGTGTTTTCTTCTTTTTCTTAGCATTTTTAAGTCCATGGAGCTGGAATTCCAAGTTCCTGACTGCTGCTGCCTGTAGGATTTTTAGAATGGCTACAGAGCATTCAGAAGTCATAGCAGAAATAGCTTGTCTTCCTGAATGTCAGTGTTTCTGAAGCCCAGGGACAATGGTATAAAAGCTTTTCTTAAAAAAAAAAAAGTCAAAGAATAAGAGAACATAATCAGCTATTGAGACTATAGACCTGTACTAAATGCTATCATTTAAAAGAATTTTGCTAAAATGACATTGTTTTTAGGTTTGTGGAGCAGACTGTTATTGGCATAACTTCCATAAGTGCTTCTTAGCCAAAGTGTGAGTTGAGCAGTGTTCATCTGGAGACTTGGAATGTTTTGGAATTAATAGGAATTGGTGTTGGTCATCTGAATTAATATTTTTTTGTTGCAAACTGTACTGAGAGTTCAGATTCATTTCTTTGTGTGGGTTTCTATTAACAGTATGGCTCAAGACTGGTGGAGCTTTTCTGGGATACCTGGAAATTTTTCCTGGCCCCTGGATGATAGGGATCTGGCTATTAGATCTTTATACCATAGGTTTACAGCAGCAAAATGTATTCTAATTTTATTATAAAATAAGGATCTCATAAGAGAATGCAGGGTATCTTGATTATATTTGTAATTACAGAAAGACTTCTACAAAGTTTCCTTGCAGTTGTAAGTTTTTGTGTTACCTCACCTTTCTAATTGGTTGTCATTGTTAGGCAGTGTGATAAGAAGAAAGATGCTGGTTTTCCAGGCAAATTCCTGCTATATTTTTCCATGTCTGTTTTAATGTAGCTGTGCTCTCCTGACTAATGTAGCATGAGGGTAGCTGCTGGCTGGTTACTCCATGGGTTTTCTTGTTTGGCACTTCTGGAAGCTGGGCTCATTGTTTACCCAATTCAAGAAGTTACTTTCTAAAGAGGTACCTTCCTCTTGAAACCACAGTGTTTAAAGAAAACATAGTTAAATTTGCATGATGTTTATTGTAGCAAATGCTGATTGAATATTTTCCTAAAAACAAAACAAAACAAAAAAA